AGCTTTCTGCTGCCTGTGATTTCCGAGAGAACTCCAAGTTTACAAAAAACAATATACTTGGTCTGCAGCAAAAAGCATTTTCACGGAAGTAATGGCTCAAGGCTGTCAGTTATTAGTAGAGAGTTGAGGAATAGAAATCTCAAATCTGATTCTCAGTTTTATGTTTTATTCACTGGAGGAATGATCTCTTTCAAAAAGACGTTTTTTAATACATTTAAAGTGTGTGTTTGCCTTTTGGAGAATGGAATGAAAACTTAATGAGCCATTCAATATGGGTAAGATTTTAGTAGGGAGAATTTCAAAAAGAAATAAGTCGGTTTGCATTTTCAGGTTTGTTTTCACCTCCTTTATGAGTTTGAGGACGTTAGTCTGCTCCAGAGGTTCCCAAAGCTTCTCAGCTCCAGGCACCATCCTGGCGCCCTGGTCACTTTGTGGGGCACCCCTTGGCCAGGAGAAAGCCCTAACGATTCTGTTTATCGAGGGTAGTGTCCATGCAACTTAGTATTTGTAGCCTCATAACTAGGTAGTCGTTTGAAAAAATAAAACATATAAATCAAAATAAAAAATATTTCATTTAATTCTTTTTTTTTAAAGATTTTATTTATTTGACAGAGAGAGAGAGAGAGAGAGAGAGAGAGAGAGAGAGAGACAGCGAGAGAGGGAACACAAGCAGGGGGACTGGGAGAGGGAGAAGCAGGCTTCCCGCGGAGCAGGGAGCCCGACGCGGGGCTCGATCCCAGGACCCCGGGATCATGACCCTAGCCGAAGGCAGACGCTTAACGACTCAGCCACCCAGGCGCCCCTATTTCATTTAATTCTTAAATAGCTACTATTTCTTGCCCGGTTCTTGCTTTTCACTGCGGCAGCTGAAAGAACCGAGGTGCGTAGCTACAATCTAATGTTGAAATTCTGAACTCCTCCAAGCTAGTAGTTCCCGGGATTATTACTGTTATCTCCTTACAATATAAAGCATCCTGCCGCTGGGGGTTTGTGGTGCCCCCCCCCAGGGTTCCTCCGTGCACAGTTTGGGAACCACTGGAGCAAGCTGTTTCAAACTTGCAGCCGCCACCTTAGAAGTGTCGCTCCAGCAAGCCTCCTCATCCGTTATTCTGTGACTGTGAACCGTTTGTGAATTTACTCTTCTGAGTGGCATGGGAGGTCAATCAAAATTCTCCATGTTTTCATTCCTTTGGGTGCAAATCATAGGAATTAATTTGCTAGGTCTTCCTCTGTGGGTGAGCAATGCCAAGGAACAGTGAAAAGCATATTCTGAGCTTCTTAGCTACGTTCTCCTGGGTGCGGCCCCACACCGACCACCATGATCTAGTCTGTCCTGGCAAGGGAGCTGGGAAGGCGCTGGTTATCCGAGGCTGCTGAGGTTCAGCGTCTGGATCTGACCGTTAGACCCCGAGAGTGGAAAGTGGATGAACAGGGGTCAGTCTTCCCCGCGATCCCCAGACAGCTGTGGCCAAGTCCCCGTGCCAGATGGATGGGCATCCTCCTGTGTTAAAGGACACTGGGCTCTAGAGAAAGCCTTATTCATACTTCTCCTGGTTGAAAACCCCAGTGGACCCCTGTGGGGTTAAAAGGTCGGGAGCAAAAGTCTGATCTTGTGTAGAAGATGGTCTGTGTGAAAAAAGTACCCGAATTCCTTGCTTGGGTTTTCTTTTTAAAAAAGGGGATTCAGACAGATGGGGCTCCCGCTCACATTCTCACTTTGAGAATTAATATTTAAATGACTTGAACCTCACTTGGCTATAAATCTCTCTTAACCTATGTCCTGACTTTGAACTTTTTCTTACTGGCCCGATTTCCAAGTCCTTTTCAGGTCTGGAAAGTCTTCCTCAACCCCCAAATGCTCCACGATTGCAGGATAAATGTTTCAGCCCCTCGGCCCCAAGTTAGGAAGTACAGGCTCACCACTGCGAGGGAAGGAGGGGTGGCATCCTTGTGTGAACATGTAGAAAAAGCCTCCTACAAATTCATGCATCTATGATGGCTCCCAAATGTGAGATGATACATACATTTCCATGAAATTCCAGTTAATACATGGTCCATAACATTGGTGAAGATGGAGAGAAAGAAGAAAGTATCTCTAAGTAAAACCCAAACCCAAAGAGAATGGCCAATTACATACAGGTGGGAGAACTAACCTGTACTTTTTTTTTTTTTAGATTTATTGATTTATTTTAGAGAGGAGGGCGGGGCAGAGGGAGAGGGAGAGAAACAGACTCCTCACTGAATGTGGAGCCTGATGTGGGGATGGATCCCATGACCCTGAGGTCATGACCTGAGTTGAAATCAAGAGTCCGGAAGCTTAACTGACTGAGCCACCCAGGGCCCCCTCACTAATCTGTTTTTAAATGTAAACTTTTAATTTTGAATAGCTTTAGATTTCTATAAAAGTTGCAAAGAGAGGTAAGCAGAGAGTTCCCGCATGGCCATGCCCCATCTCCCCTGTGGGAACATCTCGTGTTTTCATCACACGTTTGTTGCAGATAAGAGACCATCACAGATACAACACTGTCCCTGGAAGCTCAAGCATCCTCTCCTGCCACATGGCTCGACTTTTTCTTTTAGCTTGTTTAGCTTTCAGGACACAAGTTCTTAACTAAAATGGAGTCCAAAAGATGCACCATTTTCTTTAGGGTAGCATTTGTTTGTGTCCTGTTAAAAGTATCTTTCCCTAGACTCAGGGAATGAAGGCATTTTGCTATATTCTTTTTTTAAATAAAATTTGTTTACTGTGTTAAAATATACATAATGTTTACCATCTTACCATTTTTAAGTGTACAGCTCAGTGGTACTAAATATATTCATAATGTTTGCAACCATCACCACCATCCACTGCCATAACTTTTCATTTTGTAAAATTGAACTCTGTCCTTATTAAATGGTGACTTCCCACTACCCTGTTACACCTCCCCCCCACAGCAGCACCCACCATCTACTTTCTGGCTCTTTGCATTTGACTGCTCTAAGTACTTCATATGAGTGGCAACAGACACTATATGTCCTTCTGCATCTGGCTTATTTCACCCAGCATAATGTCCTCAAGTTTCATCCATGTCGTGGCAGGTGGCAGAATGGCCTTCCTTCCTAAGGCTGAATAATAGATATTCCATTGTACATGTACACCGCATTTTGCTTATTCTGTTCACCTGTTGATGGACATTTGGGTTCCTTCCATTTTAGCTATTGTGGATAATGCTGTGATGAACATGGGTGCACAAACATCTCTTTAAGACCCTGCTTTCAATTATTTTGGGTATGTACCCAGAAGTGGCATTGCTGGATCATGTGGTAATTCTATTTTTAATTTTTTTTTAAAGATTTTATTTATTTATTTGACAGAGAGATAGAGAGCACAAGTAGGCAGAGTGGCAGGCAGAGGGAGAGGGAGAAGCAGGCTCTCTGCTGAGCAGGGAGCCGGACATGGGCCTCGATCCCAGGACCCTGGGATCATGACCTGAGCCGAAGGCAGCTGCTTAACCGACTGAGCCACCCAGGTGCCCCTCTATTTTTAATTTTTTGAGGAACCGCCACGCTGGTTCCCACCAATAGTGCCCAAGGGTTTTGATTTCTTGTCAACATTTGTTATTTCCTGTTTGTTTGTTTGTTTTATAGTAGTCATCCTGATGAGTGTGACAGGTGGTATGTCACTGTAGTTATGATTTGCATTTCCCTCATGATTATTGGTTGAGCATCTTTTCATTTGCTTATTGTACATTTGTAGATCTTCTTTGAGAAATGTCTATTCAAGTCCTTTGCCCTTTTTTTTAAAGATTTCTTTATTTGAGTGCTCGCTTCAGCAGCACATATACTAAGATTTATTTATTTGAGAGAGATAGAGAGAGAGTGTGAGCAGGGGGAGGGGCAGAGGCAGAGGGAGAGAGACAATCTCAAGCAGACTCCTGGCTGAGTGAGGAGCCGACGGGGGGCTCAATCCCATGACCATGAGATCATGACCTGAGCCGACATCAAGAGTCAGACGCTTAACCACTGAGCCACTCAGGTGCCCCCTTTGCCAATTTTTAATCAGTTTTTTTTTTTTTCTGAGTTTCAGGAGTTCTCTATTCTGGATATTAGTCTCTTATTAAATAGATGATTCATAAATATTGTGTCCCATTCTGTGGGTTGTGTTTTTACTCTGTTGATGACATTACATTTTTAGGATCTATTCTTTTTTTAGTAGATCATGTACATAGAACATGAGATCTATTCGTATTTTGAGTAGATACATAAACATCGAGTTCACCGTAACAGCTGTATAGCATTCCATCTTATGATCACGTGACAGCTTACCCCCTTTTTTTCTATTACAATTGTGCTAGCACACCTTTCTTTGTGTAAACTGCGAGTGTGGTTAGACTGTATCTCAGAGGACTAATTGCTATATTTTATGCCAAATGCATTTGTAGTTATTACAGACTGCTAATGCACTTCCCAAAATGGCTCTTCAACTTTATGTTCCCACCAGCAATGTTTGGAAGTATTGATTATTACATTGTATCGGGAGGAGAATCTCAGGTTTAGTAGCAAGGTTCTGGGCTCAAATCCTGGCTCTGCCATTTACTAGATGGGTCACTATTATCTTTCTGCTTCACTGATGAATAGTGTTTCATTGTATCTATCCATTCTCCCATAGACGCAATTTTTGGGTAATTTCCAGTTTGGGGCTTTTACAAATAAAGCTATTGTGAACATTCTAACACATGCCTTTGGGTGAGCCCATGTATGCACATCTGTTGGGTCTAAATCTAGAGACAGATTTGTTTGTCCTGGGGTAGCCATTTGCTTGGTTTTGCAGAAAATGCCATGCTTTTGCCCAAAGACGTTTTACTAGCTTATGTACCGCCAGCAGTGTATGCGTGTTCCAATTGCTCCATTTCCTGGCCAACACTTGGTGTTGTCAGTCTTTTTCCCGTTAGTGTCGGGTTTGTGGTCTGGAAGCTTACAAGAAGAATCATGGCCCCAGATGTTAGCAATGTTCCCCTAGCTCTTGCCCCGGCGAGCGAGAGAGTCTTGGGAAGCTGACTTGGACTATGTCTCTATCCTGGCAAGAGAGCAGTTTTGCCAGCAGGGAGTGAATTCCTGGGAAAACTGCATTTCCAGCTGCAAATGAATAAGTTGGTATCACTGTTTTATACATATGGCTTATGAACTTGGTTAACGGGAGCCCCGACTGGGAGATTAGTTGGCCCACAGTGAGTACCTGGTTCATGGGAAGAGTCAATGTTTATAGAAATCAGAATAGTAGTTGCTTCTGGGGGTGGGTGGCTAATGGACTGGGAGGGTGTGTGAGGTGATATTCTTGGTGCTGAGAATGTTCCAGATCTTGACCTAGAGTATATACATGGGAAAAACCATTGAGTTGTACACTTACGATTAATGTACCTTTTATACTATACTGTGTGTGTGTAGACCTCTGTTAAAAAAAAAAAAACAATAACTAACTTACACTTGGTTTCCTCTTCTTTCCCTGTGGGACAAAGAGCTCTTTCAGTTCGGCCACTGCGATTCTGACCAGCAAGGGGACGGGGCATCAGGAGAGGGAGGAGATTGCATCGTCAGCTCTGAGGGAGAGAGGGGCCGCTCTGGGCAGAGGCTTTGAGAGGACAGGTGACAGGCGGCAGGTGTGAGCTGGTGGAAGTCCCCCAGTGCTCAGGGGCATTCCAGGGCCACACATGGAGTGAAGAACATAAGGATTTCTGTTTTCTGATGTGTCAGCAGAAGGAACAAGTTAAGAAAAAGGTGTTAGTGTCAAATTTATAAGGCGCTGTGCGGGGTTTGCCAGTAAAAGAAAACCCAGTTGCTCAGCCAGACTTTGAAAAATATTATTTGGTCCCTGAGTAGAAACAGCTGTTGTTTCCTGTTAAGGAAATCAGCTATCCATTTCCACACGCACCGGCAACCAGGTGTTCAAACCTCACGGGCTGCTGCTCCCTCCTGGACCAGATCCTCGGGCCAAAGCAAATGAACAGAACCCCATCATCTTCTCTTGTCATTTGTCTTGTGAGGAGCCAGCTGGGAGCTCTCCTTCCTGAACTGTACTCCGTTTCCCTCCTCATCCTCCTTCCCCGGTGCGGGGAACAGCCCGGGGGGGGGGTGCTGGTGCTCCTCTCTGCTGGGGGTCTGGATGGAAGCGCTCTTCCCGAAGGGTCTTTCTCAGTAGGTGTGGGGTCTGCGCTGCCGATGGACTGCTTCCTCAGCTCCCGCTGACCTGGTTTTTCCAGCCTCCTTGCCCAGGTGAACAATAATTTATGCTGGAAATAGGCCAGTGTGATAGTTTGGGTCACCCCAAAAGCTTCCTTCCTGTGGCTGGCCCTTGGCTAAACTGTAGAGCAGATCGAGTTTCCCTGGCGGAGCTTCACCGAGTCTGTGCCTCTCGGAACTCGGTTCTCACAGCCTGCCTTCTTCTCTTCCAGGATGGCCCCCTGTTGGCCCTCCGCACCCCCACACTTGGCTTGCACTGGGCACACACAGCCGGCCTTCCAGCACGTGGACTCACTTCCACCTTCTAAAGGGTTTTCACTCAGATCCATATTTCTTTGACATCTTAATAAGCTGTCCTATAGCAAACCACAGGACGAATAATAATACTGTTTTGGCAGCTTGAGCTATTATTTTGCTTTGATTTATGAGAACTGGACTCACAGGAGCTGTGGGTCTTCTCAGATGTTGCTAAGTGCGTGCTGATCCCCAGCTGGCGTCGATAGGAAGCTCGGACCCCGAGCCTGGCTCCCACACCCTAGCAGAGAGCTCACGGGGCCTCACGGGGCCTCCCTGGCTTCTCAAGAGCCAAGTGGTAAAAAGAAAACTCCAGGGGAGGGGTGCATGAGAGGGTGTACCCTGGGCGTGGAGGCTCCCCAGCCCTGCACCCCACACATGTCCTTGCGCTGACAGCTCGGGCTCGTGATAAGCAGACCTTGTGTTCAGGCCAGGGCTCACGCCCAGGAGATCGTCAGTGCTGCTCAAATGCAGCGAGCCACACAGTGGGGTCCATGGGGCAACCACCGGAGCACTGCCTCCCAGTAGAATTCGCCACGATGAGGGAAACGAGCTACACCTGCTCTGTGCAATATGGCAGCCCTTGCTTATTGCGCTCCAAAATGTGGCTCATGAAAATGCATAAACATTAATTTTATTTACTTTCCACTAACTAATTAACAGTTTTATTTAAATAGCTGCATGTGGCCAAGGCTACTTTATTGGACATTACAGGAGACACTACTTTGGAGAGTAGGGAAAAGATCATCTGAACTTCTCTTAATATTTATTTTCATCTAAAACATGAAGAAGCCAACGTTGATGCCAGCCTCTACTGTTCAGAGGGACTGGGGCCCTCATGAGTTGGTCTCTCCCGCGAACACTGTCACATGCAGGTGGAGGTACCCCGGCCAGAAGGTCCCAGTCAGAGAGTTGACGGTGGCTCCTCAGTGGCTTTTGTACAGAATCTTAGAAGTAGCCCAGTTGTGTCTGTTTTATTGGATTTACAAATTATCTGGTTTTAAGGAAAATTAATCCTTGCAAAGTAGAACACTGACTTAGAATCCTGCATCAATTGCAGACTGACGATCCTGTTGATGAAGCAAACCCAAGCAAACAGCAAGATGGCAAAGGGGACCCTCCCACCCTCAGCTTCTGTGGATACTCCACTGGGCAAGACAATGACAACCCACTCAAGCCTCATGAGGCCACGTGATTCAGAATGATCTAGACTGAATTGTTGATATAGATTCATGATCACCAAAGGTAACCCTCATCTCAGTATATGTCGTGTTTTGAAATATCAGCTGATAATAGTTTGAAATCATTGAGATGAGCAAGGCACTTAAGGATGAAATGCCTGAAAATGAAGACAAAATTTTACCATTTTTAAGATCCTACAGTACAATGTAAAATTTCACTAAAAGTTGGATACATTTCCAGAAGCCTCTTTTGAGTGAACTTAGCAGCAATTTAAGTCAAATACCATTGAGGAAGGACTTCCCACTGTGGTTCACACAGCTGAAATACAAAGAAAATGTTGGCGTGGCAAACAGAAATGCATTCCCTTTGTCATAAAACCCTGCTGGAACGCACGTAGAAAACAGTGCCGAACACCAGGAGGACTAGGTAGGCTAAGAACACGTTACACGGTGTGGGAGATTCGCTACACAGTTGGATCAGAGTATAGATGTTCTTTTTTTTGCCTTTTCACTTTAAAAATAACTTCAGATTTACAGAAAAGATGCAAAGCTGGTGGAGAGAGTGCCCCATACCCTTCACCTGGTCCCCCGAATGTTAGCACTCACCCAGCCACAGTGCACTGGCTGAGCCGGAAATCAGCCTCGACGCTCACCATCTGCAGTCCTTGTCCGAATTTCTCCGATTTTCTCACCACTGGCCTTTTCCTAGTAGGAGTCTATCAGGATCTTCACCGCATTTAGTTGTGGGGTCTCTTCAGACTTCCATGTGGGGATTGTTCCTCGGTCTTCCGTTGATTTCTTTGCCTTTCATGACCTTGACACTTAAAAACAGAGATTTATTTATTTATTTGTTTGTTTATTTGAGAGAAAGAGAGAGAGAGCAAGCGGGGGGAGGGGCAGATGGAGAGAATCCCAAGCAGACTCCCCGCTGAACATGGAGCCTGACTCCTGGCTGAGCGAGGAGCCGACTAGGGGCTCAATCCCATGAGCTCAAGATCATGACCCAAGCCAAAATCAAGAGTTTCATGCTCACCTGACTGAGCCACCCAGGCACCCCATGACCTTGACACTTTTGAAACGTACCGTCCCATTAGATTTAGGATGTCTGTTTTCTCAGGAATGGATCAAGGTTGTGCATGTTTGGCAGGAACGCCAGAGGTGATGCTGGGTCCTCTCAGCCCCTCATCTCAGGGTGACGAGGATCAGTTTGTCTCATGGTTGGTGGTGGTAACCTTGATCTCCTGGTCAGAGCCCTGGAGAGCTACTGTTGCTCTTCTTGTAATTAATAAGTATCTTGTGAGGAGACACTTTGAGACTCTGTGAATATCTTGTGTCTCATCAACATGTATATATTTCCAGTGTGTCTTGAGCCATGGTATTTACTGCATTCTGCTTCAACAATTAAATTTTTAAAAGATCCGTTTTCCCCTGTGTAGGTAAAGAAAGATGTGCTATGGAACATATATTCTTTTCTTTTTAAAAATTATTTATTTATTTATTGAGAGAGAGAGAGAATGGTAGAGAGAGAACATGAGAGGGAAGAAGGTCAGAGGGAGAAGCAGACTCCCCGCTGAGCAGGGAGCCCGATGCGGGACTCGATCCCGGGACACCAGGGTCATGACCTGAGCCGAAGGCAGTCGCTTAACCAACTGAGCCACCCAGGCACCCTGGAACATATATTCTTAACAGTAAATGGCTTTTTATTAAAATAAATAAATTTCACTGGCAAAACTGTCCCTTACAGGAGAGGAAGTGGGGTAAGGTCACAGTTACTACAGTTCATGGGGGCTCGTTCACTGTACCTGCGTGAGCGACTTAACAGCAACCAAACTCCCAGAGCCACACATCCCGCGGGTGCCCCAGATGTCACTAACACAGCTATGCTGATTTAGAAATAAAAATGTAAAAGAATGTTTATAGTACTTTGTGATGAGGTGGAGAATGACCATGAAGACTTTTTGTACTACACAGGATTATTGTGGTTAAATTGCAGCAAGGATAACTTAAAGGCTGTTGGACTTAAAGATGGATGATATGGTTTTCTTTTACAAAACAAACAACAATAACATAGCTGTTCAAGACTTGTGACCTGTAGCTGGGAAAACCAAAGACTGTCAGAAGGATGCTTCTTAGCAGATATTTTTAAAAGAAAAATAAACACTCTTAATTTGTACCTTCAAGATAAAGGTGAATTTTATTTTATTTTATTTTAAAGATTTTATTTATTTATCTGACAGAGAGAGACACAGCGAGAGAGGGAACACAAGCAGGGGGAGTGGGAGAGGGAGAAGCAGGCTTCCCGCTGAGCAGGGAGCCCGACGCGGGGCTCGATCCCAGGACCCCGGGATCATGACCTGAGCCGAAGGCAGACGCTTAACCGACTGAGCCACCCAGGTGCCCCAAGATAAAGGTGAATTTAAAAAAAATAAAGAGTAAGAAAGTAACAGCTTTTTGAAAGAAATTTGAGAGAACTTTTGGAAAACAGATGGACTAAATTTTTTATTGTTGCCCCAAATAATGTGTCATCTATTAAAATGCTCCTGCCTTCATACTTTAAAAAAATAGAGACATCTTTATCTTATTTAACAATCTTCCCAACAATGGTGGGTTGTAATCCCATTTGCTAAAAATGTTAGCATGTAGTGCCTTATGGTTAATTTGCATGAAAAACTAATTGACATCAAGGAAGATGGAAATTTACTAGCTGAGTTTCAACAAAAAAATGTTTGCATAACTGGTGGATAAGATTGGAAAGTGAGTAAAATGATTTGGTAAGTTAATTATTCCTTAATCTTTGGATTTGTGCTTCTTTAAGGAGTATTTTTTAACAAGTTTGATAGCCATTAAAATCCAGTATCAAAATAAACAACTCAGAATCAGACCTACAGATGTTGTATCAGAAAATGTTAGACTAAGAGTCTCAGAAATAGCAAAGTGCATTCAGTCACATTGCTTCCACTAAAAATCTTATTATGGAGAACAGGGCCATTTTAGTGAGCATGAAAAGGTTTTCTGGGGGCGCCTGGGTGGCTCAGTTGGTTAAGCATCTGACTTTGGCTCAGGTCATGAGCTCAGGGTCCTGGGATCAAACCCCGTGTTGGGTTCCCTGCTCAGTGGGGAGCCTGCTTCTCCCTCTGCCTCTGCCCTCTGCCCCCCCTTGTGCTCTGTCTCTCTCTCAAATAAATAAATAAATAAATATTTTTTAAAAAGGTTTTCTGTACCATAAACAAATAAAAAATGCAAAATTATTTTAGCGCAATTTGTGTCTAATTTTTAACTCATCCTTCCAGCATTTTAATTGTTGTGTGTGATTTTTAGTATAAGTCATATGTTAGCATGGTCGTACTCATATGTAGCTTATGTATTTACGCGTGAGGAGAGTTTGTGGAAATAGTTTCAGTTATGCGGATGTGAGAGTGACAGCCACTGCTGTGGATCTGAGATCTGACTGTACTTCAAAGGGAATTACCTACAGGCTTCATCTCCTTTGGTTCCCACGCCGAGAAGAGGCAAGTCTTACTTGTGAAATAAAGTTATCCCTCGGTTTTAGTTCAGGAAACCTGGCACTGCGAGAAGGCAAGATGTATCCTTGTGTCTTAAAAGCTGAAAGGGAGTTGCCGGAATTGGAAGCCAGGTCCTGTGCCTGTTCCGCCACATTACTCTGACTCAGAGTGGAATCTGTCCTCAGGGCTTCACGCTGTGCTCTCGAACAGGCTTCCCCCAGCATGGAGTCAGCGCTCATCCTTCAAGGAGTGTTTGTGAGGAACTCCATGTGCTGGTTGCCCAATAGACAGAAGTGGATCTTGGGCTTCCTATAAGCAGCATTTGTAAATATACACCAATAAACAAATGCATGAAACAGTATTACGGTCTGCCTTTCCCAGAGGAGCAAAACCACCCTCACGCGTGGATGAACTACACGTATATAGTTTGTTCTCCGGGTGGGCTAACATTATTCTTCTTAATTATTGCTTCTATTTGTACAGGACCTTCCCGTGGGTCACACATCCCACTGCCACAAGGCAGAGAGTGATTTGCCCTCCGAGTTAAGGAAGAAGAGATCCAGGCATAGAGGGGCTGCTCTGCTCAGGGTCGCCAGAGAGGGAAGCTGCTGAGCCGCCCCCCACCCCCCGCCCCCCCCCATCTCAGCCTCGGGACCTAAGCTCTGTCCACAGGAGCTCGTGCATTTCCCAATCCCTGCTCACCAGAGCCCCGGCAGCCTCTACTAGATGCATGGCCACATTCCAGACTCGCCCTTTGGGAGGGAAGTTTGTTTCTGGGAATGCTCTCTTAAGACACTGGTGTACTGGGGCGCCTGGGTGGCTCAGTCGGTTAAGCGACTGCCTTCGGCTCAGGTCATGATCCTGGAGTCCTGGAATCGAGTCCCGCGTCAGGCTCCCCGCTCAGCAGGGAGTCTGCTTCTCCCTCCAACCCTCCCCCCTCTCATGTGCTCTCTCTCCCTCTCATTCTTGCTCTCTCAAATAAATAAATAAAAATCTTAAAAAAAAAGACACTGGTGTACTGGGGGAGAAGAGTCCGATACCACCTGATTACACCTATGTATTATTTATCCTATTAGATTGCTTCCCAGATGGTGGAATGAAAAAGATTTTGGGCCAGAGAAAATGGGGCATGAGCCCACCGCGCATGTCTCCACACGCACAGGGCAGGGGTGGGGTGCGGGCTGCAGGTGGGGGGCCTGCGTGGGGCACTGCAGCCCTTTGTAGGGCTCAGGCGGTTTCAAAAGCCATTTCATGAGTGGGGTCACGTTTGGTATTTACAGCAACCAAGTGAGGAAGGAGAACAGGTGATTCTGAACCTCCACTTTGCAGATGGATTGAGGCTCAGAAGGGGGAATATGACAGGACTTTCTTAAAGTCACACACCTTGTAAGTGGTGCCACCAAAACCCGTTCTGAACTGACTTTTCCTGTTTATCTTTTGCTGATGTTTCGTTCCTGTGGTTCTTAGCAGGGCTGGCTCTGCCTCCGAGGGGCTGTTTCAGATACCTGTGGGGACATGTTGCTTGTCTCAGCGGATGCCAGCGCCTCTGATGTCTAGTGGGCACAGACCAGGGATGGTACAGGTCCCATAAAGTGCAGGTGTCCCCACACAAGGAGAAGTGCCTAGCTTTACGGTGGCCCGCTGGGCCCTCTTGAAAAATGGTTTTACTATGTGTTTGCCATTATCTGAGCCTAGAATGTAGTTCTACCATAACGCCAGACAGCCACAGAGACCGGCCAGCCCTGCCCTGTGGTTCGCCGGCAGGTACCAGAACCTCCCTGGGAAGTGATGCTGGGGCCCAAAGTGCTGGGAAAGCGGATGGACGGCTCTGTGTACGTTTCCCCTTTCCACATTCTAGGTGGTTCCTTGGAACTGCCTCTGCTTTGGAAGGGCTTGTTCTTTGCCTCTCTGCCCACATGCAAAAGCACTGTTTTTAAAAAGCTACCATGGTGTCTTGGGAAGTTGCATAATCAGACGTCCCTGGGCTCACTTCCTAGTTCTTGCCCTTTCTTGGGCAAGTTCCTAAACCGCTGGGCCTTGTTTCCTATGTTTGTAAAATGGAAGAGAATGCCTGCTTCACTTGGTCATCCCGAAAGTCAAATGAGATGTCGCACGTGGGTAAAGCACACAGACCCACTTCTATTCCACTCTGTTCCCTTCCCTCCCTCCCTCTTCACCCTTCTTTCAACTGAAGGAGGATTCCAGCTTGCTTACTGTCACTTCACCTCATGTAAACAAGAGAATATACTTAGTATCAAGAATATCTTTCATTCCGCAGCTGTCCTTATTTAAAACAAAAATAAATAAATGCATGTCTACCGTTCTGAGCATCTCAGGGGGTGTGGACTGCTTTGAGATTCTAACCTAAGCCTCTGCCCAGGGGCCCAGACCCACCTGCCCGTGCGCTCTTACAGGTAAGCCTGGAAGACAGGAAGACAGGGTGGGGCTGTGGCTCCAGAGGCCGAGTGAAGCCCCATCCAGCCGTGGGAAGGCTGCCCGGTGCTGCTGGGCTGTGGCTGTACCAGGCCGAGGCGTGGAACCCGGCACCCTGGGCGCAGGCAGGGCGGGCGTGGGGCTGAGCAGCTGAGGGCATGCGGCGTGGAGAGGCGGGCTGTTCCCACGCAGACACAGCACACCTACTGCCACCCTGATTGCCAGGGTCGATCCTACTGTCCTCTGTCCTCTGCCACTGAGGTCTCTCCTGAGGTTTCTCCTGGGGCAAACGGGTGCCCAGAGAGAGAGGACGCTGTGCAGTCAGGGTGCATGGGGAGCTCACCCCCACCGCCAGTTCTGCCACAAAAGGCCCTCATTAAGTTAGGCATTTGAGGGTGACCAAAGAGAACGATTTCCTCTGGGGATTTCCAGTGTCATCTGCATCAGCCCACGACAAAAGAAAGTCATGCCGATGACAAGCCACACACTTGAGTTCTCCCATTTAAAGAGTTACTTTTAGGCAGAAGTCGTGATGCTCTTTCCAAGGAATGGGTTGTATGATATTGTCCAAACTGCAGTAGGCTTCCAAGTGAACACGGAATAGCACTGGTGCCTTGTGGGGCGGGCTTGGCTCAGACAGGGAAACAAAAGAAAATGTGCCATAAAACTAAAGCGCTGGCATAGCTCAGAAAAAGTACCCGATTTTCCAACTGGAAGGAATCCAAAAGCATGGTTGAGAATCTATATTGATTTTTCAAGGTCTTTCTAGGGAAGGAAATCGAGGATTGAGGTAAACTTTTGGCTTTTTGTTTTTTTCCAAAATGAGTCAGAGTTCTTGTTTCTCTTTCGTGTCAGTATCTGCTATGGTCACTGCGAGTCTTCACTGGAAGTCTGTAACAGACTGTGTGACATCTCAGTGGGACGCTGAGCTAAAGGAATCTGTGGGCAGAACCCACCAGGGACCGCTGCCACCATCCCCCTGCTCATACTCCTGCACACAGGGTGTCTGAGAAAGCAGCTGGGCAAGAGGGTCAATCTCTCTGGTCCATCTGACCAATCTCTGGTCAACCATGCAAACCCTCTTACAGCGGGATCCTGGAGGCTGAGAGAAGTCCTCGGGGGGGACGGATGTCCGCCTGCAAGGCTGCAATGGAAACTCCTGACTTTTAGTCATGGTGGTGGAAACTGGGGGCAGCCAACCAAAATCTGCTCTGCCCTTGCCCGAGCTTACAGAGTGGTAGCAGACCACGTGACCCCGCGCCCCTGGGAGGCAGACGTGGGAGTACGCTCCTGCTGCAGGATCGTGAAGAGGACTGAAGTACGCTGCATCTGGGTGCGAGGTCTCTGACACGTGAGTCTGCTCCTCTGCATTCCCTTACCCCTTTCCTCTGGCTGCAAACCAGTGTGGACCATCCGCTGATGGCCACGGCCAGAGGCAATGGCTGACCACTGACTTCCTCCCTACTTTTCCATCCTGGGCTGCTCACTTGAGACTGTTCCATGAGAAAGTGATGCATGTTACGGTCTCTAGGTCTTTTCGTTGTAACGGCTTAGCTCTACCCTTACCAGGACAGGCCCTGGTGTTCAGTCTATTCCGTTATTGCTCTGCATGGTACTTTAGATGTCATGAGAGAGGAAAGTCTTAACTAACTACTCAGGGTGTGCAGAATCAACAGGCTTCTGTGCTCTAAGTAGAAACAAGACCTTACCAAAAAAATACTCACATAGTCAAGAAATTGTTTTGTGCACAGTCAGTGATTGTTCAGTTGAACCAGAAGTATGTCCCTTGACTTAGTACAGCAGGAAATTTCACCAGCCAGATGAGGAAGACGGGGGGATGGTATGCTTGGTCAGATGATAAATGTGCATTCTGGAGAGACCTACTGCCAGCAGAGTTCTCAAAGGGTCTGTGCTAGTGCTAAGGAGACAGATGCACTGCCCACCTCCCCAAAACCCTCCTATGTCACAGAAGAAGGTAGCAAAGACTGGCCATTGCCTCTGATAGTGAAATGACTGGAAGCAGTAATTCTTCCACTGCTAGCAAAATGAAAACTTCTCATTAAAAGGTCACCTCCTGGGGCACCTGGGTGGCTCAGTCGGTGAGCCCTTTGGCTCAGGTTGTGATCCCAGGGTCCTGGGATCGAGCCCCACAGCAGGGAGCCTGCTTCTCCTACTCCCCCTGCTTGTGCTCTCTCTCTCTCAAATAAACAAAATCTTAAAAAAAAAAAAAGCTCCTGCAGGATTAGACTGTACAGATTTTGCTTCCAGGTAATGCCAAGTAGACACCTGATTGGATGTTTTAATTAATTAAAAACTATTCTGAAAAACATATAAAAAACAACTACCTGAACACACTGGGTAGTGACCACAAAAAGGCCTATTCTGGAGGGGAACTGACATGTGGGCAAAGGACACACCACTTGTAGAGTTCCACGGTTTCTGGCCTGAGGACAGGAACCAGACTTCACCATCTGGGGCAGCTGAAACTTGAAAACTGGCAGTCTCTTTTGCTTGGAGAACCAAAAGAAGAGTTCGGGACAACCGCAGTCTCTGGAAAGCAAGGAAAAATTCTGGAAAGAGGGACACAGAGAGGGGAAAACCCCAAATTTTGTGTATAAACTCTGCTCAAATCTCTGCTGACCCCTGAACCATGCGTGCATGGAGCAGGCTCTAAGCAACTGAGATAGGAATAAAAGAACTGAACTGAGATTTGAGCCAATATCCAGGAGACAGCATTTGCAGTTTTAGTTCAACAAAGTGAATCTGTTATTAAAACATAGAGCAAAAAATCAACACTCTTCAGGGGAATATAACAGAACCCTGGTCTCCATGACAAAACATTCACAATGTCCAGGATACAATCCAAAATTCCTCTATTTGAATGGTTCCATCTGGGGGAAGTTTTGCCACCAAGGGGGATATTTGGCAATGTCTGGAGAGATTTTTGATTGTTGTGACTATAGGCAAGGTAGAGAACAGGAATAAACATGGTATAATGCACAGGACAGCCCCCATAACAAAGAATTATCTGGTCCAAAGTGTCCATAGAGCTGGTGTACTTGAAGAAAAAGGAAAATATGACCCATTCTCAAGAAAAAAAAAAAAGCAGTGAAGACTCACACCAAGATAATCCAAATGCTAAAATTAGCAGATAAATATTTTAAACAGCTACTATAAATATTCTCAGTGATATAAAGGAAAATATATTCATAATTAATTTTTTTAAAAAATCTCAGCACAGAAAGAGAAACTGTAGAAAAGAATGTAATGGAAATTCTAGAAAAGAAAAAGATAATATCTAAATTTCAAAAGTTTTTTTTCAAGCTTCAGGTCCTCCTATTCCACCACCATCTTCCCCTCTACCTTAACT